TTAAATAGGTAAAATCTAACCTGTTTGAATTTATTATAGCCATCCAATTCCAATGGACTCCGGCTGGCATACAAAGCCAAAAAATCCATAAAAGCAGATAAACATAAAGGCACACATACAGCCCAGACTAAAACAATCATAAAAATAACACAAATCAAACAAAACAGCCCCCCCCCCCCCCCATAATACATCAGTACATTAACTCTAGGCCTGGGACCAAAGCCAGGTTTTCAGAACTTTCCAGAAGACTGGATGCTGTCTGTATTTCTGGGGGAATGCTGTTCCAGAGAGTGGGGGCCATGACAAAGAAGGCACGCTTCCTCGGTTCCCCAAGGGGACAACATTTAATAGAAGGACTTGGAACACACCCACTCTGCCATGATGTGCCTTATTCTATGCCATTAACAAATGTATTACACAGAAGATTATAAGATTATCCAATATATTTATTTAATAATGCCAGGTGAGATGAATGTAGTATCAAAGTTTGAATTTTCATGTCACAGACTTTTGAATTTGCTTCGTTTGAGACTGCTGTACTGCCAATGATTTGTCTAGTTTCATCCACTTTAAACCTAACATGATGTGGTTTTGATGTACAAATGATTTAAGCTGTGAGTTTTAGCTTGGCTAATTCTGTTCCCTACAACAAGTATGATGGATGATGGAGAGAATTCAGCAACAGAAGATTCTGTGTTTGGCACTGTATTCTTTCTTCCCTAACACTTTACATGTAAGAGTTGCTTGCTCTGGCAAGACCTGGGAATAGAATGGAGTATTCTCATCAATTTTATTAGGGTTTTAATCAGGCTTCAGTGTATGAATGAAAATAAACATATTTCCATAATGAACCAGCCAGTAAAGCATGTAATTAGAGAATTATTATTAATATTAAAGTATTTTATGTAATAGGTTTCAACAGGAGCCTTGGGATGGAAGAAGAAGTACAATCAACTGCTTGAATTTTCTTTTCGATATAACCCTTACAGGAATAGTTGCCATCACAATTGAAACCATGCTAGAATTACTTCCTCTGATACTTTTGGAACTGCAAAATCAGTGCCTATTATGCAGTATAGTGGAAAGAGTTATAGTTGTAACCATATTAAATGGTCAGATTTAGGATGAGATCCATGCAAAATAAGATGCAGGCCACTGATCTCTAAATAATATCAGTTTAGCTTTGTATCTTATGATGCAATTAATGGATCATCTTATGCATTATACAGGTCGCTTGGGTTATGTTTCAGCCTAGGTACCACAGTGGGTGGAACTGTTGATAGTGAGATCTTGAGAAAAAAAGCCCTTCCACTATTTTCTGCATGTATAAAATAATAATAACAAAAAAGCAAAAAATGTAGATATACAAAAACCTTGACCATGAATACCAAAATCTGGTCTCTTTTTAGCAACCGGCAGGTAATGGAATGATGGACAATGAAGCCATTTGTACTTCTTTTTATAGGAGTCAGGCCCCATGGGCTACCCATTGTGGGAGCTAAAGTTCAACACCTTCAGCGGAGACCAGGTTGGGGAAGTTGCTTTAATGTTTTTTTTTTTCTTGGTCAAGGCTTAGCAAACTCATGGAAGAGTGAGGGACCTCTTTATTTCTTTCCCTCCTCTTTAACTGAAATCAAAGAGAAACTGAGATTATGAGACAGAACTTTCTTTTAGTAGTGCTATATGTGTGTCAGAACAACCTTTCAAGGGATGCCCACTTGTGAAATTGTTGTTATTTAAGACAGTCTTTGCAAGCAAATGGTAACTTGAGTGCAGGCTCAAACTCATATTTGAGTATCCTTTTGTATAATTTGATTCTCTGCTCTCTTTTTCAATATGCTTTCTGTCTATTTGTTGTTAAATTGATTTAGAATATATAGAGGGCAGGTAGTCCTTGCTTAACAATGCTAATTGGGACTGGAAGCTCTGTCATTAAGTGATGCGGTTGTAAGTCAAAAAACCACGTGACTGCACCACTTAGTGATGGCAGTTCCGGCAGTCCTGGTTGCCATCATTAAGCGAGGACCATGCGAGGATCTCACATGACCATGACTTGCAATTTCCTGCCAGCTTCCTCATTGACTTTGCTTGTCAGAAGCCAGCAGGAAAGTTGCAAATTGTGATCATGTGACCGCACAGATGCTGCAATGGCCATAAGTACAAGGACCGGTTGTAACTACCACTCATTCAGCACCATCGTAAGTTCAAATGGTCATTGAATGAGTGGTTGTTAAATGAGGACTACCTGAATTGCTTTGGAGTAATTTGGGACAGAATGTCAGGGTGAGTAGTCCAGATGCTAAAGGCATTCTTGCTTTTTTTTTTTTTTACTGTTAAAGGTACAAAGAAGAAAAAGACAGCCTCTCTTGTCAAGTATCTATTTGGCTGCTGTACAAAACAGACAGTAATGCTCTACAGGCATTTGGTTTGTGTCACAAAGGACTTTTGGAACTGTGATCATATGTTGATGACTTGGTGACTTTGTTTCATTGTTAAGGACCAAGGAATAGGAGCTAGAATAAATGTCCAGTGTGGCTGGTGGTTGGGGTGAGATTGCTACTGTTGTGTCCTGGGTAATATGTCCTACTTCTATCAGCTTTAAAGGTCCAGAAGGAGTCAGACATACATTAGTGAAAGTACTGTATAGACTTTTTTGAAGCTGGAGGAGCTAATTAGGTGAGCAGATGCTTGTGTAATTGCAAGGTATATGGACATAACGTCATCAACCAATGGAAGAACATTTATTTATTCAGAACATGTTAGGTAAATTCTTAAAGTAAATATGGAAGAAAAATACTCTGCCATCTAGAACAATTTTTTCCTTCAGAATTTCTAACATGGGATCTTCCCCAAGTTTTCAACTTTTTGAAATCCGCTTGACTAAAATCTGTGATAGATATCCATTTAGGCTAATCATTTATATCCTTGGTATTATTTATTTATTCATTGCAATTATATCCTTCCTTTTCCCAGGAGATCAAGGTGATACATGTACTGTAGCATTCCTTTATTTATTTTTTCCTCATAATAACCATCTTGTAATGTATTTGGATTGAGAGATGGTGACTGTCTAAAATTCATCCAAAACTTGAATCCAAACTCTTAACTATGACATCACACTAGGTTTTAAGTTTCCAAGATAACATGGTCACTTTTATTCAATGCACCTGTCAGATTTGCTTTGTCTACCAGTTCTGTTAATTAGGATTAAAGATGACATAGTAATGTCCTTTTCTCCTCCTCCTTCCAAGAAATGAAGTAATCAGCAAGACAAATCAACAGTTCATTGGATATTCTGTTTTTATCAGAGATTTCTAGCAGATGTCAGGGGACTGGTATTTCCCCTTGCTCCTTGGGGGCATGCAGAGTGGGCATGTTCTGCCTTGAAGCTTTGCAGACAACGTACTCTGCATCATGAAGCACTGAGCCAGGCTGATCCACCTTGCCCAGCAGCCTTGCCGCAAAGAGAGCTTTTCCTCTGGTGGGACCCCATCTATAGAATGCTCTCCATAGCAAGGTGCAAATGCATTAGCATCATTTCAGCACTAGGTGAAGGCCTTTTAATGGTATTCTAATTGTATATTCATTCATATTGTTTTACATTTTGATGATTGCTTGTCTCTAGTTTATACAGTGTCTTTATTTGTATTTGACTTGATTTTACTGGATATGTTTTAACTTGAATTGTACTATTCCTTTTTTCTTTTTTGGTGAGAGAGCTTTGGCTATTGGCCAGTTTAAAGATAAAATAAAATAAAATAAAATAAACTAGCGGCTTCTGCACATTATATTACTTCTAAGTCCTTATGAGGTGCACACCATTCTTTGTGAAACAGAAAAGAGAGTGCACTCTTATCTCCTGCTGTCTCTCCTAATGAGATTCTGTTTCTCCTGTGTGCACTTGGCCAAAGTAAGGGGACTGTAGGTCCAGAAGGTGTCCTTGTCAGTAGCTGCTATGGAACTGTGATACTTGCCCACTGTGATGCTTGGAGGGCCCAACTAGTTTGTTTTTCAGAAGGCCATGAAAACCAGTCTGTTTCAGAGAACATTTGGTAGGTAAAAGGGCAGTGGGCTCCCCTTTGGGGGTTTCTTCTTTTGTGTAATTTAATTTAGTGAATATTTACTGGTTTGGTTGTTTGGTGCTTGGAGATAATTTTATTCTTTTGATTTGTGCTTGTAAAACCACCTTGAGTCTTTGAAGTCAGCAGTACTGTATATACATTGCTGTATAAATAAATAAATAGCTCCATTCGGGGAAGCTTGGACTCTTGTCTTATAATAATGATATTTGCATATACTTTGTCGTGTGGTTCTTTTTTGGGGAATGTATTTTTCATTGGGTCATCTGTCATTCATGTTGGAATGTCCTTCATAAGCACTGATCTTCAAGCCCTCTCCAGGCATTCAGCCGGAACTAAAAGTGTGGTGAGGTGATGAAGCAGGCACCTTGACCTTACTTGCCTACCTTCTCTTCAGATTGCATATTAAGCACTAATTTCTGCAGGTGGAATGGAGGCTTGTGAGCACAATCTCTCTGCAGACCTTAGAATTCAGTAAACAAAGGTATTTAGGGTAGGTTTCTCCAACCTGGGCTCCCTTGAGATGTGCAGATCATTTCCCAGAATTCTTCATACTGTTAGTGTTGGCTAGGAATGTTGGGAAATGAAACACACACATGTAGAAGTCACCTGGTTGGGAAGGTGGTTTAAAGGCATCTGGATAAACCCTGCAGACCACATACTTAATTGTCATCTGTATAATATACTATGGGGTATATTGTTTTAACATTTCAAGTATTTGTAATGCTTTATTGAAGTTCTTTTAAATACAGTGGAACAACAGTAGCTTTCCATCACTATAAGGATATATGTCTTTTCTTTTTTTTGAACTGTCTCCTCAGAGAGCCTTTCCTTTCCTTTCCTTTCCTTTCCTTTCCTTTCCTTTCCTTTCCTTTCCTTTCCTTTCCTTTCCTTTTTCCAGCATCGAGAAGAAAACTTTCTATTCCTTCTGCTTTTATAACATCTGATGAGTTCTAATATTTTGAGTATTAATATAGTGAGTACTGAATTGCTGTATTTTTATTAATGCTGTTTTATTATATTCTTGTGATTTTGCTATGATTTTTAAGAGTGTCTCTGATGATTATTACTGGGTGCCTTTTTTTCTGTCGTTGGGGGCCTCATATCAATATTGCATCAAAGCCCAGTATTTACTTTTGTTGTTGTTGTTCAGTC